TTTGGAAATGTTGGTGGGGTTCTTTCGATGACCTCTAGGAGGAATGGAGTCGCACTATACTGATATCACATCACGTTCTTTGGCTGAGTATTCTCCACAATCTGACCAATCGATATCCATATGACAATTTGCTGGGGAGATAGAGACAGTTCTAAAGGGTTGGATGAGGTTCTGCAGGAATGGAGTTGTCAGAGAAATCAGATATATTTGATAATGTTATAGCTTCAGTTTCAGATGTAAATGCAACGAGACGGGAACTTTCGGGTCGGGTATGGAAGGGGACTCTGCCCACCTACTTTTGGAATCATTGAAAGAGAAGTGTTGCTTAAATAAAGAGCTGTAGGGAGGGGGGTTACAAATAACCGGTCCCACTGACTGGGCTAAATAGAGTATTTAAGATATTTATAGAGTTCGGAGTTTCAGTTTCAGTCCCCGTCTCCTAAAAGTGTTGTCACACTCGCACTTTTTCCGTAATCTTTTTGACAATATTATTTAACATAAATACAAACATTCTCAAATATAGCTCTTGATTTGACTATGCTTGGCTGAAAAAGTTGATGGAAAGGTTTTCATACGGAAACGATCATTATCGTCTGACTGGAAAATTGACAATTCGCTCAAAAATGGACAAAATTTCAGGAAATTGTCAAACAATTGGTGGAAAAAGTGCTAGTGTGACAGCACATTAAGCCCCCCACGACAACAATGGGCACGGGATTGGGGGGAATAGAAAATAAAGAAAAATATTATCATAAGAATATTGTTTACAGCTATATAAACCTACAAATTATATTGCAAGTAACATATCTTCTGAAGTTTCCTTCAAATCAATAGGATGGATTGTTAGAATTGTGTGAGGCACGAGCCAATGAAAATTCACATAGGGGGACATACAATTACACAGAAATAAATATCTTTCTATCTATATACATTTATCTCTCTATCTATATAGTAGATATGTATGTCTTGGCTGATTTATTTCAGTGCATATCCATGCCCGTATAATAAATGTTCATTAGGTTGGGCAGTTTTAACAAACTGGCTGTGTACATGTGACTGAAAACTGATCTAATTTATAAGCTGAAAATAATACTGCTGGACTTTTGACATCTTTTTGACTTCATGGGAAACAAAAGGATTTTTTAAAGGTATAGCATTCTAAAAATGTGAATGTTTGTCACTATGTTTATTATCAGAATCTTTATGTTTACAAATCAGACTCAGGAATATTGTATCCTCACTTGTGTAATAAACCCTTCAGTTATTACAGTTGTATTATCAGTAATAAATATGAGATCCAAGTACAGTATACAAACTAGTTAAGGTCCCAACTACTGGGAACTTAATTGCTAGGGGTTATGTATATACAAGTCTTCACTCTAAAGAGGTTATGTAGCTGCTTGGCACTACATATATCACAGATGAAAACAATCATTTATATGAATTCAATAATAAATCTATTGGGTCTCAGAAGTATGAAAACTACCTCACCTTTGGCTTTAACTAAAAACTTAAAGTTAACATTTAAAATATAATTCAAGAAGATACATCATTAACATTTAAAGATTTTTTTCAACATACATTACATTAAAGACCTTATAATACCAATAGATGCCATCCTTCCAAATATGAAAAATATTTACAAAAAAGAATAATATATCATGCTATTTACTTTTGTAGTTTTTGTCAATACTTCACAGTAGAGTTAACATGCCAACAAAATGGCAATGAGAAAAATAAATATGATAACACAAGCACATCATTTTTGGTGCTGGCACACACATGAACACATATGTTAATACTGTCCAAGAAAGTGATAGCCATAGTATCCCCCAGGAAATCCATAAGGAGTGTAGTTGTATTCTGTACCGCGACTACTTGTATCTGTCATGCGGTTTTGTGGGTCATATCCATATCCTATTGGCTCCTCTGACTTGTATGTTGAGAGGGCTGTATCTGATGGTTTACTTAATGAATTGTCAATGACTGCGCGACTAACATTCAGTGCTGAGACAGAGTGGTTGAGAGGACTAGAGTTCATAGCTGCAGTTGAAAGATCACCAGCAGTAGTGGCATCTCCTCGAGTGAGATCTCTTGTTAAGTCTCGTGATAAGTTGTATGCAGCAGCAGTTAGGTTAGCACCTAAGGTAGTGTTAACCATCTGTGGGGCTTTAGACACTCCTGCAGCAGCAAGACCAGGATGAATGAGTGATGTTCCCTGGTCAGCCTGCGCGGCTGATGAAGAATCCCCAGGCTGTGAATTGCGATTAAGGGTAATTTCAGAATTGCCTCCTTCATGGTTTGTAGAACCTGGAGTCATATTGCTTGGCCCAGCAATGTGCTTTATGATTGGTAAGTGACTAGAAGAATTATCCCCTTCTCCATCTTCAAAAAAGGATTCATCATCATCCCTGTTATGACCAGAATCATTCTCAGCATTTCCCTGTTCATCACAAGAATCTGATTTTCTCTGTTTTGAAAATTTCAGATTGTTATTAGCTTTGAATGTGGCAAGCCATCCATTTGATGCTTTGAAATCATGATAACCAAGTTCAGGTGCAATTTGCAGAGCTTTTGCTCGCAGCATTCCAGTAGTAATCTTAACCCCTGCAACTACAGTCATGTGCCTATACCACTGAATAAGGTGCTGATTCAACAATGCATATTCACTCTTGCGCTGTCTCTTCATAGTTAGCTTCTCACCTCTGAGAAGGCTATCTCTATATATAGTGAGAATTTCTTCCCTTCTCTTAATTATTCCACTAACTTGAGTTTTCCCAATTCCATACATATGTGCAATCTGACGCTGAGATTTACCATCCAAAAATGCCTCAATCACTTTCACTTTTTCCTCGAGGGTCAATGTAGTCCGAGTCTGTTTTTCTCGCTCTTTTACAGGAGGTAATGTAAAGAGAGACAAGGGGCTTATAGCAGGAAATTTTACTTCATCTGATGATTCTTGAAACTTACCGTCAGATGTTCTCTTCTCTGAAAGTTCCCATACAGCAGAGTCTTTGTTACTGCTAGAAGTGGACTTAATTGAAACAGATATTTTGGGGTTATCTTCTGAGGATGCACTTTTTTGCAACAGTATGTTTTCTTTGTCACCATTACACTTTGATCCACTTTCATCAGTTGGGAAAGGTGGGTCACAGTTAACACTAACTTTTTCCATTGATGCCAGTGCTGCAGAAACTGTTTTGCTTTTTAATCTTTCAAGGGCTCTAGTTATTGGCCTTTCCGTTGACTCTGATCCAAACAATGATCTCCTCTCCTTTGCTAGCCACTTCTTCCTACTTTCGTCCATGTTACGCTTTGTTTTGATTTTACGTTTAGCTCTTCGCAGGGAAAGAGATGTGCAAAACAGGGGTTTCCTCTTAGCCAAGGTGCGCCAGTTTTCGCTCTCCTGGCCTGTGGTGAGGCTAATGGTCAAGGGACCATCTTCACAAGGCACCTCTAGAGTCTTCTCCACAACAGGCAGTGACGATGATAAACTATCTTTACTCTTGGGTGTAGGACTCTTGTGTCGCACTGGGCTCAGGTCTGAAAGAGAGGAGGAAACTTTACATGTCATGGTTCTCATCAAGTGTTGCAGTACAAAGACAAGAATAACAAAACAAATATGGGATACAGGTATGATATCTTTCCAAAAAAAAGAAAAAAAGAAAGAAAAAATTATAATCTCCAAAAGAAAGTCTAGGTAAACTAGAACCATAACACTGTTAAGTTTCCTTTACCTCTTCTTTCTTTCCTTTTCATATTCATCAAATTCTTTGACCATTAATATGGTGAGAAAGCTGAACTCTTGATGTGTATAGCAAAATGAAAGAAAGAAAGAGAAAAGGAAGAGGGAGGGAGGGAAGGATGGAGAGAGAAGAGACAGTTACGTGGAAACTGTGGGAGGAAGGAATGATAGATACATAGGAGGGGGGGAGGAGAGACAGTGGGGGAGAGAGAGAGCAGAGACGAGGACGAGAGAGAGAGAGAGAGAGAGAGAGAGAGAGAGAGAGCAGAGCAGAGAGAGAAGAGAGAGAGAGAAAAGAAGAGAGGAGAGAGGTAGAGGAGAGGGGAGAGAGAGGAGGGGGGGGAGGAGAAGAGAGAAGAGGGGGGGGGAGAGAGAGAGAGGAGGGGAGGGAGGTGGAGGGAGGGAGAGAGAGGAGAAGAGAGAGAGAGAGAGAGAGAGAGTAGAGAGAGAGAGAGAGAGAGAGAGATGAGAGAGAGAGAGAGAGAGAGAGAGAGAGGAGAGAGAGAGAGAGGGGAGAAGAGAGAGGGAGAGAGAGAGGAGAGAGCAGGAGAGAGGAGGAAGAGGGAGATGACGCGAGAGAGAGAGAGAGAGAGAGAGAGAGAGAGAGAGAGAGAGAGAGAGAGAGAGACGAGAGAGAGAGAGAGAGCCAGAGAGGAGAGAGGCGAGAGAGAAGGAGAGAGAGAGAGAGACGATGAAGAGAGAAGACCGAGGAGCGAGAAGCAGAACGAGACGAGAGCAGAGAGAGGGAGAAGAGAGAGAGACGAGAGAGAGAGAGAGAGAGAGAAGACGCAGAAAAGAAGAGACCGAGAAAGACGACGGGGGAGAGAGAGAGAGGGAGAACGAGAAGACGAGGAAGAGAAGGAAGCAGAGAGAACGGAGTGAGAGGAGAGAGAGGGAGGAGAGAGAGAGGGACCAGCAGCAGAGCAAGAAGTAAATTTAAGAGAGCGGCAGGGGAGGAGGGAGGGAGGGGAGGGGCAGAGGAGCCAGCAGAGAAGGAGCAGAGAGCGAAGAGAGAGAAGAGAGAGAAGGGGGAGAGAGAGAGATGAAGACACCCGGGGGCGGCCGGCGCGGGGCCAGACGGCACGAGAGGCAGAGCAGCAGAGAACAGCCTCCACCCGGGCACGCTTACGCAACTACTAACACGAGCCCCCGGGGCGGGGCGGGAGCGAGAGAACGAGAGTAGAGACCAGGGGTACGGGGGCGGGGGCACCAGAGGCGAGAGAGGAGAAGGCACGAGAGAGACGGAGAGAGACGA